AACGCGCGTTTTTACAGCGCTGTTAATCGGAATCGGTATTTTCGGAAAACGAAAAAATCGAAAATATCATTTACGTACGCAAGTGCATGTTATTATCGTTATTACTCGTTGCGTTTCGGTTGAATTCGCGAAAAGTCCTGTTTATCATCGAACCGCCCCCGTCACTGCAGTGTACATCGTCTCGCTCAAGATTGGCGTCTTATTAAATCTTTATCAACGCTTCGGTTAGTGTTGAACAACGGGTTTTATAACACACATTTACCATATACTCTAAGACAATGAGGCTAAACAACATTTCTAGTAGTTTAAACCAATAACAATCACGTTAATAATTTATTTATTGGATCATTATGAGTCGGATGTGTAACAAACACATAATTATTACAAATAATATTTCATTTATATGTACATGAAGTCTCTTATCGTATAGTCGTTTTATATCTTAAAGGTCTCTGCATCATGCGTTATAATTAGCGCTTGAACGTTTGTCGGAGTTGATAAAGGCAAAATGTGCACGAAAAAATTGTAATATATGCATTAAAAATGTTAAATATGCAAAAACAATTATTCTGAATTCCAAAAAAAAAAAAAAAATACTTTTGATGTTTTTAATAAATTAATAATGTACACAAAACTAATTAGAATTTAAAAAAAATGTACAACTAGTCGGCGTTTTGACAACTTATTGAACTAAAAATGTATGTTTTATAATACCTGTTAAGTTATTAAATTTAATTTTCTTAAGATTTTAAATTCCAAACGACCGACGATTTTTCGATAATAGAAGATTTTTACATCGAGTAAATGGTTTTTTCAACGTCATGTGAGACTCGGTCGGCTGTAGCATAAACGATTCCTGTTCACGCAAATCGGGATTTTCTTGCGCGAATGCGATTTCTAAAAAAAAATCTTTTAAACAAGGCTCCCCCCGTTATTATTCGCACGACTCGCCGCTGGACGGGTGTTCACTGTGACGACTGTTTGGAGTACGGACACACGCGTGTCCGGTAAAGCACGGTCGCGGTAACGTCTTCCGGCGTACTTTCTGCGCGAAAAACGACCGCTATCCGCGTGGCGAGATCACATCTCACGAATCGCTCGAAGGGATTGTTCCTCGGACTCTTCCATTACAGCGGGTTGCGTGTCCCGGCACTACTGCACGCGACGTTATCGTTCCGTTGAAATCTCCGACGCGTGCGCGTTGCGTAATAATCGCACGTGAGGTTGTGCTCGGAAACGACAACTGCGCACATTATTACTATTAATTATTGTTCTTTTATTTGTTTATTCGTTTGTTTTATTTCTTTTGTTTTGCGGAAGCCGTAGGGAAACAAAAAAATAATAATAATAATAATAATAACCGTACGCGTTCTCCCAGAGCACGCGCGTTTGACCAGTCGCAATCGCGTGTCCCCTGTTCCCCCCCTCCCTACCCAGTCGTCGACGAAAAAAACACCGTATGACGTCGAAAAAACCGACGTGAATTGATTTGGAAGGCGGGTGGGGATCAGGTCGGCCGAGCGTTGTGTCTGAAACACGTTTACAACTATTGTGACCGATTCGAATTTTCTATCCGTTCCTAGAACAATATCACACGGCTGCCTAGGCGCGTTTTTGTCCGACGACCAAACAGCGGATGTTCCGTGCGCATTCGACAAAAGGGAAAATAGAGCATTATGTGATGCGAAAATCATTTAGTTTAAAATTTACAGAATATCTTGGTTCTGCGTGTTGCAACTGGACGCCAATATTTAGGTTGAGTTAACAAAAAAAAAAAAAAAAAATTACATTTTAACACTAGGATTCTTAGAAAGACGAATCTGCATAAAATTATCGTTGATAGGCTATTCATATCATTCGGTTAGTGTTTATATTTTGTAATGATTTAATAATATGTTTAACTTGGAAAACACTGTTCTTTTGGTGTATATTCAATAGGTATATTGTTTTTTTTGAAATTATTGTATAAACTGTCATAAAATTGTAACTCTATCACCATCACAAGCATAGCTCAGGAGTAAGAGATATTTGTCTATCGTTAATCATTTACTTTAAAGTGTAATTCATTATATACAAATGGACATTCTGAAAAAAAAAATAAAAATATTATGGTTGAAAATTTTAGCGATAACGATTCAGTATAGATAGTATTATGTCCAATTGGTTCCTTGTCAGACATGGAATATAGTAGAAACTGCTTTTTTGTCATGCATGGCGCTCGTCCTGAGCTTGAAATGATGTATAATAAACAATGCTACTCGTCCTTCGTTTTAAAATAATATTTTTTCAACATTTAATAATTTTTTCTTCTACAATGACGCATCTGCTTCCAACAATAATAGACATGCTAAACATTTCAAGCAGTAGACAAATTGAACGATACTAAACACTTACACTATATTATACAATTTACTTGTCATTGATGGCCATTTTATAGTGTAACATAAAGTTATAAATGATGCAATAAAAATAATATGCTATTTTAATTATTTACTATCAAAAAAAAAAAAAAATTAAAACTTTATTTATATAAATATATATATATATATATTACAGCATATTGACAACTCAAAAATTTGCTTGAATTATATAATTCTGAACAAAATATTTACATTTTATAACGAATGTATATTTATACATTTTAGTATTCAAAATTTAATTTCGACTAGAGGATTTATTTTAATGGATTTTTTTTTTTTTTTTTTGTTCCTTTGAAGTTTATATACAATATTTACTATAGATTTTAAATAAAATAAACTCGTTATAAATATTGTACGTATTGTAAATAAACTTCAAAGGGTAGGTACAAAAACAAAAATAAATCCTCCAGTCGTAATGTAATTATTTATTTCCATAAACTTTTAACGCATAAAACGAGTTGGTTCAGTTGTTTTTACTTCGATACTTCAGCAATGTGAATTTAACAAATTAAGTTTACAATACCTTAGTGCCACAGCAAATACTTTTGCTTTATAATAATCAACGGATTTAAAACCCTTTTGGAAATATGCATAAGTTACATTTTCATATTGTTAAATAAAACTAAAAATTCATATTAATTCTATTATAATTATATTTACATTTATGTAACTTGATACAATTAAAAAACCAAGAGATGAGATCATCGCAATGAATTTTAACAATAACTGATTGATAAGGTTGTTTTCTTATATAATTATCCGAACAAATAGAGAAAATAGAGGAACAAAGGAACGATTTTGTCGAAAAGAAACCTTAAAGTTTTTAACTATAGGCATTCATTTTTATCATGGGCATTTATCTTCGTAAGTGCCCACAAAAGTAATATTACACTGTAACATTATACGCGTGAATTTTTTCGGAGAAAGGAACTGGAGTAAAATCAACCGGAAACTCAAGTTGTGCAAAATCAACGCAAATGCATTGGCGTGATAGGTTTCCGAGGAACCCAGCACTTACGTGATACAGGTTGGACGTGAAGGTGGATGCAGCAGGTGAAAGATATTTGTATGTCCTGTTCCGGTTGGCCATGGTTACAGAGTCGTGAAGCTCCAAGGGACAAGGACAGTAAGTTGTGATCCCGAAAGTGTGATGTAAATAATTGCAGGGTGGTGGTGGCTAGTTTGTGTCAAAATAATGCGCAACTGTATAAGTTGCGTATAGCTCACGAGCAGAACCAAAAAACTCGAAAAAACGAACCATTTTATGTAGCGTCTTTGATGAACCACATTTATCCGACTCTTGAGCATTCTGATTCTTATTGCGAAACACTTTACGATTCCAACAGTACGATGTTTAATTACGTACAAAAACGCCGAACAATGCGTTCCACATTCATATTAGCGTTTAAAATCTGGCACCGTATGTTCAATACTTAGAAACCGTCTTTAACAGCCTGAACGGCTGAATGCTCGTTTACGGCGAAGTGGTTTTCGTACGAGTCTGGTTTAAAAATAAAGAAAAATTAGGATATATTTTTATAAATATTACCGAAACGGACAAAAGCTGTTAATAACATGTAGACGATACGCGCCAGGAAGTCAATCTTAATACTATTATTCACTTGGACGTATTAGCTGCGCGTATTATTCCGATGCGTGTCTGCTATTTGTTGTTGCGTAATGAAATATGAACGTATAGAAGAAAAAAAAAAATAAAAGGAAGAAAAAATACTCTTCGTCGTGATAAAATTTGGCAGTAGAGACCATGTGAAAATAAACCTTTTGCCAACGAATAAGTCCCGTCGCGCGTCGCCAATATCCTTTGAAACACTATACCATATCGAATCCATTACGATTTGGCGAAGGCGACTATTGGCGCACTTTTTACCAGTACAGCAGTTATGGTGGTACATATAATATGGTAGTCTATCTGTAACGACTTTGAATTTCAGTACTGATATTCGATTTTTAATTCACCGAAACCCGATCGAAACATCAATTCACCGATAAAACGAGTTTCTTTTTTTTTTTTCACCACGTATAAAAATTTAATATTGTACGGCTTCAAATCACAATGAGCGATGAATCATCGTTAACACGACGACATCAAACCGAAAACATTGAATTCGTATTATTCAATAACAAATAACGTATGTTGTGTTGGGTGTCGAACCAAACGATTGGTTTTCCATTCGTAAAAAAAAAAAAGATATTTGGTTTAATAAAATAATAATCATTCAATAAGTAGTGTACGATATAAATAATAAAAATTTAACTTAACATTATTTCAGAAAAGTCATTGCTACTAATTGGCTGTTATTGATTTGTAAATAATAATAAAACTTCTTCGCAATAATCTTGTAATTTATTATCGGTATTCAATGTCGTGTTCGTACGAAAAATAAAATTAAAAAGATTTTTCATTAATCAGTGTTTTGTTTTTAGCGGTTAATCGTTATTATGATTACAACCCTTAAAACACGTATTTTATTGATTTATTACGGATATTAATTCCACGTGATGTGTAGTTGGTGCTCAAAGACGACAAAAGTAATGAACTTGTTTTTTTTTTTTTTGTAGATCAATTACACGGGAGCTAGCATGAACCCAGCCAGATCTTTGGGTTCCGTCGTAGCCACTAACGTGTGGAAAGACCACTGGGTAAATAATTAAATGATCACGACAGACGTGTTTGGGTTTGCGACACTAATTAGATTTTTATTGTACCGTGTTACAGGTGTACTGGGCCGGCCCTATGACCGGTGGCCTTCTCGGAGGGATCATCCACAGCTTTGTGTTGAAACGTCATACTGAAGAGGCAAGCTCCTATGATCTTTGAACAACTATATAGATAATATAATCTTAAACATTATTTTTTTATAAGCTCTTTGCTATTTTTAATCGATATGCTATTTATTATTACGTGTTATGAACATAATTAACAAAAAAAAAAAAAAATCCGGGGTTTGTTAAAACAAAACAAAACATATCATCCACCACGTTAAAACTCTATATTCATCATTGTTGTATTCGATTGTAGACATCAGACCATACAGTTAAATTGCGTGAATTCTAGTTTTTAAATCGACGATGAAATGAACATTTATTAATTTATTGCCTATTTGTAAAAAATTTAAATTGTGAGTTTGACTATTATTTGAAATAAAGTATTGTTTTTAATAGTTTTATATTTTTATTTTTTTTTCAGAAACTATTATACTAACTTAGGTTAGTATATATCAACCAGGCATGTTTTATGTATATAATTTTATGTTTTTTAATTTGACGGGGATTACTTGACTAAGGATTTCAGTTTAAATACTATTAAATGTGAAACAGAAATAAATACTATATGTTTTATTTTAATTGTTTGTGTTTTATCTTTTGACAATATATATACTCGTATATATATATATATATATATTGATTTCAACAGTCCAAGAACTTTGTACTTTCCGAAAGAAAATTTGTAGAATCCACTTTTGCGTACAACATCAATAATAATATCCACAGAGAAAATATTTTTTTTTTTTTAAAAATACACAAACCGATTTTTACGAACGTTGATCAACCGTTAATGGTATACTTGACGAAAGATAAAAACAATCTAAACTAGAGTGACCGTATTAAGAAAATAAAAAAACAGTACAGCTATTACTTCCCACCCAAAAAAAAAAAAAAAATCCTCGTTCATATACATTCACACATATACACATAAAATAGAGTTAAAATCTAAATCTCTGTCATATCACAAACAATTATTCTCTTTTTACTTTACCCTTTTTTAATAAAATAACCTAAATAATAAAATATTTTCTTTTAATTATTAATTAAATAATATTTTTTTTTTTAATTATTAATTAAATAATATTTTATTTTAATTATTTATCAAACAATACAATGTAGCATTTCAAAACTATTATAATTTTTTAAACAATTAGAAAAAATTAATTTTTAATATTACAATTAAAGTATTAAACAATGTATTGTTACATTAAATTGGGAACAAGAATTAAGAAAATTATACACTATCAGCTATCTCCATTATTAATAAATTTTGTAAGCCTTCTTCTACACTTTCCACTGCTTTCTCGTACTTTTCGGAATTACTTATTGAATTTAACAATTTTGGCTGTTTCAAAAGAAATTCATAAATTTGTGAACGAGTAAAGTTTTTAAAGTGCTGTTTTGTAATTACTATCGATCTAAGGGTTTCGACATTAAAATACAATATATATTTAATATTATAGAAATAACGTGATTAAAACGGGACAATATTCTAAAAACAGGATAAAAAGCGTCGCATTCGAAGTTTGTCAAGACAACGGGATGTGATGATCAAAAAAGGGACAATTCCATTTTAAACGAGACGTCTGGTCACCCTAATCTAAACTTAAGCTAACACCCTAACCTAAGCCGTACAGTCGTAATGCAATGACCATCGTATCATTGTCATCCTCGTGTCGCGTAACAAATGAAATGCAATGTGTTCATTGCCTGTTGTACTCAGTGTTCGAAACAAAACGTGGGCGATTGTAAACTCCACCAGTTTTTTTTCTTACCTGTATTGGGTATATGTAAACGCCGTCAGTATTTTTTGTGTTTTCTCACAAATCATTTTATAAAAGTCAACCGAAAGTTCATATTTTTAGTAAAGTTCTTATCGAATTTCAAACCTGTACTTATATAAAAATAATGGCTTATCTCAAGTAAATAAGCTAAAAAATTCGAAATAATAAAAAAAAAAATGACAGTGTTACAGGATGCTATAAATAAGTATACCAATGGAGTAATACAAGACTTAAGATATTTACAAATGAAGGGTACAGGGGAAAAACGGTAGTAGTCCATTTCTATAAATTTTTCAGGGGAGCAAAAATAAAGTATAGACTAAAATCTTTCTTCACCAGTATACCTAATCTTTTCCATTTAACATTTATGGACTGAATGATTTTTTTCATTGAATCGATTTCAACTGTCGATATTATTCCTTATTTGCTATCGAATCAGACCATAAAATCAAAATCGAAAAAAATGGACTACTACGGTTTTTCCCCTGTACCCTTCAAATTGTATCACTTCATTTATAATTTATCATCATTATCATATACATGACACAATTATATATTTTTGGATTATTAGGTATAACGGTTATTGATTATGGTTTTTCTCTCTCTAATTCGAATTTTAATGTGAACGATATGATATTATATTATATTAAATTTTTTTTTTTTAATAATATATCATATTAATTGTAATACTTCTACTTAATTTTCTTCACCGGCAAAGTTTACATGAACTCAATTTTACTTGATTTTTTTCAGTGGCGGAGTTTACATAAACCCAATTTTACCTGGTTTTTTTCTCTGGCGGAGTTTACAGTAAAAAAAATAAGTTACTAGTGGCGGAAGTTCCATGCGCCCCAACCGATGTTCTCGAGAAAATAACGCGCACGTCCGCAGCGCGAAATCTTTTACCCACGAACGATACGGTCGGAAGATAAACGGCATCCGACCGACATTCGATCGGGAAATGAACCGTTTAACGCGCGACATTGTTATGCAGATTTATGATCATTACCTTGTCGACACCACTGTAAAGAATACCTACACGTTATTATCTTACTGCGTTGAGCGTTCCGATATCGTTACGAAGTATTTACGAACAAAGCAAACCGATACTGTTGTTTGCGGTGAGTTTTTACCGGAAATCTTCAGTTCAAACGTAATACATTGTAAATGTATATACGTGTGTATGCGATGTAAATTTTGTTTTAAGGTTTTAAAGTCAATATAATTTTTCAACGACATATGATGTATATATATATATATATATTATAATATCCTATTACCGACGTACAAAAGTTTTTCTCTTTGCTTCCTTGTTCGATAAATAAATAAATATTTTAGTAATCGTATTAAAATTAATAGAATATTAGTCAATTATCTTTCAAGCCCTATTCTTATCGAAATAATATATTTAGACAAACATTTTGAACAAACAGTATTTAGGATTGAATTCGTAATCTTTATTAAGATTTTAATTTAATCGCCTGATCGGGAAAATGATGATGCTTATAAATAAATATTTCAATATTTCAATATTGTTCGATTTTATTTCTTAGTAAAATTAAATTGTTTTTGTCGAATTTGTTTTTTATTCGAGATGGATACATTTATATTGATAGTGTTAATAGTGTTATAGATAATTGAAAATAATTCGATACAAAATATCCTATAGTTTTTTATCCATTTGGATAACGCATGGGTTAGTATTAAAATACTATAAATTTATGATAGTAATAAATATCGATTTTTATTACGAAGCAATTCAAATGTATACATTAGTTCGTATTTGCTTAACTTGAAAATCTGGTGTTGTAAACCAAATTAATCCTCAGTATTGACTTTAAAATAAAAATAATCAAATTCATTACACAACTAAGCGAATTAAATCAATCGTAAAAATAATATATAACAAATATTTGAATGGCGCAGTACTTTATGGTGCGTATAAAATATGGCGAAAACCTTGGGGCGATAACGAACGACAATCAAACGAGACATTTTGTACACTGAACGTTGTGTTAGGATACAAATACTTACCGGTATACGCTGTACGTGTCCTGCAAGAATAATAATACCTGGTAATATTACCATTACTTTACCGCAATAATTTGCATTGGGTTCTGATACTGTAGTGCGCGCGTGGAAAATATTCTTCGAAAATATGAACGTTAAACAATGTTCAAAATACCAACCTGCATCGGCAGACACAGAGTTTTACATTTGAGTGTGCCCTGTCATTTTTTGGTTATTTTTTCAAAATATAAAGAGGAGGCTATAAAAAAATACGTGTAGACCAGGTTATGATTTAATTTCTAAAAATAAAGGTTTTGTTAATAATTTAAAACAACGATTGGTAAAAAATACACGTAATTATTATTTCAGACTTATTTTGAACATTTGCAGTATTATATTTGCTTACAAAAAACTAAAATTTAATTAATGTGTATGCACATATATTCTCAATTGTAATTATTCGATTTTTTTTATTCACATAATTCACATTAGATTGTGCCAAGGCCCACCCGGCACACCCCCTAGAGCTGCCCATGCCAACCTGTGCTTGCGTCGTTTTTCAAAAATAAAGAATAGGTATTCGCGGATACTTCCAATACTATGTATGAGCGTCAGAAAACAATAGTTTACGACATAGAAAAACACCATAAAACTCAGGTAAGTGAGCGGACATTAAAGAAAAATGTATTAGCTTATATGTTTATAATAGCAATAAAAACGAAGAAAAAAACGGTCAAAGCGATATGTGAACGCAACAGGAGATGAAAAATATTCAAGTCATCGCACAAAACAAGAATTAAGATACATTTGATGACACACAAAATGTTATTTGAGTTATCGCGTCTTAGACGTATTTCGATTTCAGATCGAAGCGAGGAACGTATTGGTTATGCACGTGCTATTTTTTTTCCTCTAAATATTTTATAAAATAGTAAATCGGCACGTGAAGCCACGTAGTTAAAATTCATTAGATCGAAAAGTAGCCACGATTGTTGCTTGAAACGGATGTTTTTCGTAATTCTTAATTAATGTTTCTCTGTTATTTGGACCAGCGAGCGTTTATATTTTTAAAATCGGCGCAAAAGTTGATTTTACTCGTAACCCATCCATTTTTTTTAAGACACTTGTACATTTCGAAATACGGATCGCATTATTTTCGTTAATTTGCCACATACCTATTATGGTATTATTCACGGTATAAATTGTTTATAAAAATATTTACCGGTAAAAAACGATGTATATTACGCGGCAAGCTCGATAAAAAAAACCTTGATCAAACATAACATGCATACAAACACATAATTCGCCTAACGGTATCGCAAACAACTTTGGGCACAACGCAATATTGCCTTCTATGACTTCGTATATCATATTTTATACACTTCATAATGATGTTCTATGGTTTATTTTTTTTCAAATATTCATACCTTCTTGTAGTGCTTCGGTATTGCAACAGCTCGTGGACCAGATTTTTAGTGAGCAACACGTCACCAAGTTAGGCGAGTACAACATAAACGTACTCGTGCAGAACATTAAATTTAAATACACGAACAGATATTCCGATCGTTGTGTTACTCCGTTGCAGTTGTAATACGCCACGCGTTACTAATATGAAACGTAATAACGTAACACGCAAAAATCTGATGATGTTGTGGTACGTCGTACGTCACTAATATAATCAATGATGTGCACGAGAAAACGTATTCGTAGCGCTTCACATAGTTAAACATATTAGTAGCTTATGTATTGTTAAGTGTGCATAGAAATAAATCTCAGAACTACATT